CTTCTGATACGATCACGTCGTATTCAACCATAAAAAGTTAATGAGAAACGAGCAATAGCAAGTGCAATCTGTCTTAGCTTTTTTCAGCAGGCAGGTGCTTACCTTACTCAAAAATTTAATTAATTATTATCCCTCACATGATTCCACAACTTTTGCGAAATGGCTAAAATACAACCATTATAAATAAATGAACAAAATAATTACTTAAATTGTGGTATGAGTAAAGAACAAAAGATACAAATGCTATTCAAATTGAGAAATAACCGAGGTATCAACTAATTTCCACAAAGGAAAAAGCATCAGCAGGTAATGCCAAACTTTGTTACTTGATCTTGTTGCAGTTAATAAGCGTGACTATATGCGAGTCTGTCGTGTGATAAAGAGTTGGTTCATTATTTTTCTCTTTGATTCAAAACATAATTTATTACTGTCGGTACTTCAAATACTGCAATAAAAACTTTTTCGTGAGAGAGTTTGGGTTTGCGGAGGAGATATAGCTGCAATTCTTGAATTTATGGCTAGAATTGAACACTGAAGATGAATCCACTTTTTTGGCTTGGGCATGGTAAAATAAGTCGTTATGTACTGTCATTCGTTTCTCACTTCGCTTTTTTTTAGTGTTTTGTTACACAAACATTTACTCTCATCAGAGGAAGCAACTTTACTTCCTGTGGAGCTCTAATTCTCAAGTGAAACTCAAATTCTTAAAAGATTTCCTTTAAATTTAAATAAATTTGCAGATTTTGCAACCATTCTCTCACGTTGAAGCATTAAAGAGAAGCGCAAGTACATAACTTAAATACGAGAGTGGGAAGCTGTGCATCTTAGGATGGTAGCATTTTCGGTTTGCCGTCCCTTAGAATTAATGTGAGGTTAGTAAAGTTACTGCTCAGTGTAGGCGCATAATTATGAAAATATACTTCATTAATAGCCAAGGTTTGATGATCAAGTTTTTTTTTTTTAAACAAACGATTTTGATTGTAGTAAGGTTCAATTTTCATTTTGATTGAATGAGGTACGGCTTGGTAATCAGGAATCAAGAGGATTATTTAGCATGAAATAAAGTGTAAATAAAGTTTTATTCACGTGTACGGTAGTGTTGTATTTTACAAGACTTTTTACAAGATTCTTAGCTTTAATTACAGAGTATGAGGATGTGAATACGCCAGCATAGCATAGAATAATTATGCATGTAAGTATGGTCTCGGTAATATTTGTCCGTATCTTTTAATATCTTCGTGTTATCTGCTATTTAATTACACGTAAAATATTTTTAATATTTCGTTCTCTTCAACTGAAGCACAACTTTTTTTGTGATCAAAATAAGAAAAACTCGTGGATTAAAAGTTGTGAACAAAATATGTGGTGAAGAAAACGAGAACAAAATGATAATGGTGAAATCAAACATCACTTAGATATATTGGCAAGTAGTTTGAATTTCAGTTATTATTAAAAACAAATTTCGATCTTTCGACTTTATTACAAATTGAACTCGATCATACAACTTTTCGTTTAGCTCTCTGCTTTATTCGATGTTTCGATGAATTTGAAATGCTTGAATTGAGCTAATCTGAAGTCGTGTATGCTAAAGTGATACTCAAATTAATAATAAAATAGGTTTCAAGATTATTGATATGGACCTATAATGATGGTAATAATAACTATGAAAAAACAACATCCATAGTAATAAAATTGGTAATGGTACTAAAAATGCAAACAAACGCACATATCACTTCAACAGCGATACAGCAATTGATAATGATTAGGATAATTAAAATGATAGGAAAAATTAAGACTCGCATACTACTTTTTTAATAGTTATTACTATTATCACTTCTAACTTATAGTTTACATTAACCACATTGTCAGCAACATTACATGATTTTAGAGTGCTGATTGAAGTATTTCAATGTACATGACATTTTACTGAGTTTGGAATAATTAGCAAATAGAATTGTAGCAAATATAAAAATAAATAAATGGTATAGTAACGATAATAATCAAATTGAGTGGATGCAGAAATATTTTATGCTCAGAAAAATTTCTTTGCAGTGATTCAGATGTAGTGCTTTTTTTTTCTGCTGCGCAAATTAGACGAGTGGATAGAAGCACGTTTTGCAACTGATTAGTTAAATTTATTTATCTATTTATCTATCTGTCTATCTATCCATTCATTCATTCATTAAATTGCCAGTATGTATTGTAATATCTGTGAACAAAGGATATATCCTGTCTTTGTTACGAACTCAAAATGAGAAGTGTTCATTTATGCTGCGTGAGTATATTCAGATGTCATTTCATCACTTGAAATTCACTTTACTTAAATTTTTTGAAACGGAATTAAATTGAGCAGCACATTTGTGAATGCCCTGAATGCATTCTCTTCCTTTCACTGTCCACTCCTCAACAGTGAAATTACACCTCCTCCGGGGTTTAGATTTTCTTTTTATTGCAGTCTCCCGTTCTCTGGGAGATCTTATTCAGTTAGTAATTATTATCCCACGACTTAGTAGTTTCCATTGTTCAATTTCGATCTTTAAAATTGCTCTTTCTTTTCATGTTCTGTTTTTTCGCATCTTCATCAATCATTTTTTTACCACCTGAAACTTCTTAACTACATTTTATAGCTGTTAGCTATACTTATCAGCTTTTTAAATCAGTCTCATCATCTATGCTATTGCTACTGAAAGCAGTTTTGCTACTGCTATAAAATTATTTTGTGCTATTCGCACCGATGATTTTGCTTCATTTCATCCATTAATCGATTTACTGTTAACATATTGTATTATTCAATACTGTTTATTTTGATCTGTTGATTGTAGTTCGGTCAGCATTGGCTGGTTATACAAAGAAGTCAAAATTCTTGAAGTTACATACCAGTCATTTCAGTGATAATGCAATAATCAGAATGATACATACAGAAGGCTCTTTGCTCTTTAAAACATTCAACAAATAATAAGTTTTGACTGTACCAAAATTTAGTTGAGAAACAGATCAAACTATGATACTTGATAACTGAATGATACTTGTTTTTGAAGCACTTCTGATTACTTGATTTTTACAGTAGTAAATGAAGCTGATATTAATTGAATTTTCGGTAAATATTTTAACTGAACCCCATTAAATTGCTGTCAATCAACAAATCAGAATTAATAAAGTCTGCTTTTAAACCACACTGCTAGCGTTGATTGACCATCTCATTATCGATAATCGCAAACCATCTTAAATTTGATTGACTGAGTTAAATGTATTTAGTAGACTTATCTGAAATTTGAATGATTAAAAAGTTTTGCGAATATAAGAAACTGCTTTCATTATATAAAATCAGAACGCAAAAAACGTTATTTCAAGAAACAGAAGTTTATATCCTTTAGTCGGCAAATAAGAGTATAATTTGTTATATACATTAATTTATATGTTAAAAATATCATTAAAGTGTCTTTCAGCGATACCGAAAGAAAAGAGAATATAATGTCTGTTTTATTTTATACTATATTAATTTTGGCTACTTCTCCTTTTTCAACTTTTTTGACTAAAAGGTATCATTTTTTATAATTGAAAGTTTAATAATACCGTGTAGTACAACTATGTTTTCTGATTGCTAACTTCAGCAAGTTTCTGATAGTGCCAATTCTTTGTAAATTTTTGGAAAAATAGTACCGTTCTGCTAAGAGTAATTCTGATTAATTCAAGTAATACTGGAAATGATGCATACAAAGTATACAGAGTTATACCACGGAATAATACACAAATGAATGTCCTTAACTGGTTGCGTGACAATGCTGCTGAATATGAGGTAATTATTTAATGCTTGCCTATCAGTTATAATATTATATTGACTTCAAGACAATACATTACTTCAACTGCTGAGGGAATGTTTAGACTGACAGATAGTTTTAATAACAATTAAGTTTCAAAAAGTCGCTCACAAAAATATTTGTGCATTAAACTCATTATCTAACTAAATAATTGAATGGCGAAAATCACTTCCTGTTTAAAAACAAGATTGAATTCTGACGTGTGGGTTTCAGTGAGAAATAGTTTTTCAGATAATTGCGATCGAATTTTAAATATTAATTAATGTTTAATAACGGTGATAACTAAATCTGAACTGAAGCACACTATTTGCAATTCCAAGAAATTCATGAAATATGCTTTAAAAAATTTATTTCGATTGCCACAAATTTTATTCAAACATTTGAAGTTGGATATTTGGAAAGAAAGTAGCGGCTTGGGAAACTTCATGGATATTATGATACCACCTAATATGATACTTGTGATCGAAGAGTTATTCCACAAAGAAAATATCGAATATGTAATCACCATTCCAGATGTCAAGAAGTTTGTTCTTATATTATCTTCTAATTATTTAAATAATTTCTTAAAATGCCAGTTTACTTATGAAAAACATTTACAGATCTCGAAAGATTAATTTACAATTTGCGACCTAGAAAAATAAATAAGAAATAAAAATTTCTCAGAAATCTGAAAAATTCCTGTACGAACACGTCACCTATTAGCAAACAAAGAATATATTGCATCAGTTATGGATTGAATTTTAAAAATCTTATCTCCATCAATATTTAAATTTAAGACACATGATCCCTAATACATAATACAAATAAATATATAAATAAATAAATAATCAAATTAAATCAAATCAATATCACACGAAGGTTATTCTTTTTTCTGCACTATTGATTCTGGCGCTGGATCGTATTCTGGCATTCTCGCTGCACTATCCTCACGATCAGTTCTGCAGTACTGGTCTCCGTTGCTTCGTCATCGTCGAATTCTCGGCGATGATGCTTTCGATGAGATGCTTTTGAGCGTCTTTTTGAGCACTATTGTTTCGATATATACTTCGACAAGATCTGAATATGCCTGATTTCCTCCGCTTAATCTCTCTTTCATTACTTCTCCTCCCCACGTAATCACATACAAAGTTATTTCTTTTTGCATGCCATCTTAAGATTACTTCATGCCATTTTTGTCGTATACTAGAATATCCGGTCGACCCACACATCTGCTCTGATGTGCTTGTCGACTGTTATTTCTACGTTCTCATTTGTGACAATCGCCTGAACAAAGTGGCTTCGCATGCATAGAAATTCTTTCAGACCACACTGCAGAGTTTCAAATGGATGCACCATATGACATCCATTAAGTATTTTAGTACAGTCACGACGCAGCATTATCTCACGGTGAGTTGTCAGATGCTCCATATGTTTCCTATATCGTGGGCACGCGCTTTTCTTATAGGTTAACGTTTTCGTGTCGTAGCCATATTGATAAAGCCATCGATGAGAGTCCGTATCTTGCATATTGAATTTTCTGGGCTCTTGTATCACGTCTTCAGCGGTTGGATTATCTACAAGATTGTATTTTGTCTGAAACTAAGGTACAATAGTTAAGTATGTGTTACTAGTTTTCTCCTGCTTCAGAACTGCATCTCCCTTGTGCATAAGGGGCAATTCCTATAAGTCCATTATGAAGCTGAAGAAGCTGCAATCTCACTCCTTTGTTCAACGCTGTGCAGTGCGTATACTAGTAGTTTGTCCCTTTACATGTAAAGTTTCTCCAACCATGCAGGTTGCTTGTGAATCCCGTATTTGTATAGTAATTGTCTGATATCGTAGTCTGTAGTTTTGAATCTTCTGGCTCCAACTTGAGTACCACAGTATAATAGTTCATCAAACCTATGGTGTGCTCGTTTACTGCCTTGATAAAGTTCTTGCCGTTTAGTGCAGTTTTGGCTAGTCGCTCTATTCTAGTCAAAATCTCTGCTCGACGTTGATGAAACTGCTATGAAAATTAAATGGAAGTATTGCTTTCAGTACAAATCTACGCAGAAATTTTTTATAGATTCCACTAAACTCATTTTTGAAATGTATACACTAAGATTTGACTCAGGACATTTCCTAAAATCATAGCATATTTTTCGTAGATCGTTTTGACATTACTTTTCGTTCCGTTAAAAAACTTTGATAACATTAAATTTTTGGATCAGTTAATTTAATTTCAATATAATCGCTTTCTAAATTAACGATTTAAAAATTGTTCTAATTCCAAAAGATGTAATAACTTTCAATATAACGCTTTGTTTTAGGATTTTTTTCTTGTGAACTGAGTGTTATTGCTAAAGCAAATCTATTTTGTTTCACGCAATTTGAGATGATTTCTTGCAGGCATTTTTTTCTTCCTGATAGAATATTTATAATTATATTTGACCCATTAGTCCTCATGTTAGATCACGTTAATGGTACATGAGAGAGTTTTAACCTACTAGAGTCCTATTAAAATTTTTATCTGGAAGTATGAATAATGTGCAGTAAGTTGGATCCCAATGAACTTTAAATAATGAAATTAAATTCTCGGATAAAAAATATCTTCCATAAATGATTGAAATAATCATTATGATTGCACTGTAAAAACGATATTCAATATAATTATTATTCAGAAGTGGTTAAAATGCAAGTGAAAAAGTTGGTTTCTGAAAAAGATTTTTACTTAGAATTCGTAAAATTTGATATAAATTCAGTTTTTCTTCCATCAATGCAATTTTATTTATGCAAGTCACTATGAAAAAATGTTTGCTCTTTTAGGTGCAGAAACTACAGTTAAAATTTGTCCTATGCAACGTCACTTCCTCGTAACTATGTTTTTTCATATAAGGAATAAGTCACAAATATTAATACCAAGAATATGACAACTTATATGTTATACTTTGAAAATCTTATTTTCTGAGATTTTTGTGTTTCAGCAAAAAAAAAAAACTAAGTTATTGATACAGTACAATTTTAAAACTTTATAGAATGTTATTCAACTAAGTCATGCTCGAGATAATTAGTTGTGAACAAACTTTTTAATCAATTCTTGTTTTCAAGGAATTTCTGTGTGAGACTCAGAAATCATTAAAGCCCACAAGAATGAGTTTTAAATTTAAAAAATTTTGAATTTAAATGGAAGAAACTTCGACTTTAAATGAATACATGTTAAAAGAAGTTTATGTTAAAAGTTTTTTACGAATTGACAGACATTATGTACAATCTCAATGATCTGTTTTTACACTAAACTAGCAAATATAATCTAAACGTTGAAAATTTTTGTAATTAATAAGTGTAATTTGCATTTCATTTTCGATCTTCAATTCTCGATTTTTGAAATTATTTCTTGTCGGATACTCATGCCAAAAATATTTGAGAGCTAGATCTAACTTGAAAAAGCTTCCACTTTAGAAAACAAATAGTCTTCTGATGCAGTAAGATTTTTCGCACGAATTTTAGATGAATAGGTTTGCTCAGTTTTGCAACATATGAAAATAAATCTCATTTCAAACGTAATTTCATTATCAACAATTATTCACTTTAATTATTCTTTTCTTTCCCCAGTACTTCTAACAAACACCTTAAGAAGTAATTAATGATACTAATTGTTTCCTACCTGATGAAAAAGTGGAATAATTTGTAGTTTAATTGAGCGAAACGAAGTTTATCCACGAACCGCACATGAAGCCAGTCGAACAGCAAAACAACTCAACACTTTGTTGGAATCCTTTTTTGCTCGTAGTAAAGATGACCCAATCTCTGAGGAGAAGGCTGATGAATCAGGTCAATCTTCATCATCAATTTTAGGAATTTGCACAGTTTTATCTCAATACACAATACGTTCTAAGTGATAATTCTAGTTTTGTTCCCGAATTGTAAAAGATAAATTATCATCTCACTACCAAAAAACTATTCAAAGTTTGAAATTTTCAATAGTTATTAAGTTCGAACAATTAAGGTTGTATTCTTTAATTTAAGACAAATACATAAAAACAAAGCTTTGTGATAAAACAAAAATTATTTGATGGACTTTAAATTTGCATGGTAAAAACTGTGTTTTATGAGAAAAACTTGAATTCATTTTTGGGCAAGATTTTTTTCGTTATTAGTAAGTTCATGCCCAACTGGAATCAAATTTCATGTGGAGAATTGATTATTCGCATCAACTTTTCAGTTTTCAGAGAGGAATATTTATGTAGAAAATTATCTTCCAACAAATTAATGTTTCAAAATAAGACGCTTCAACCTTTTACAATTTTTCGGTGAAAGCTAAAAACTCTGTGAATACTAAGCTGTCAAGTAAATGAGATGAAAGTTATTTTTAGTGTTTAAAATATTTCGATTTTAGATTGTTTTTGCGATTTTGATTCTATATTCAGTGTATCTAATAGTAACTAGAAGCCGTTGCAAAATTATCATATTCTGAATGCTGATTTATACTATTGCCTTTTTAATGATAATTTTATGCACTTCTTTTCAGAAGAATCGTTAAGTAAAATAGGCAATCTTAAAGCCAATTACCGCTTTGGTGATTATGGATCTTACAAAGATATGCTGAAATATCTTCGGACTATTGAATTTCACTATCCACATATTACCAAACTTATTCGAATCGGTGAAACTCACGAGGGTGTACCGATTGAAGGACTTAAGGTTTGCTCTTATAATTTACGATTTGGATTAATTTCTTAAAAGTAAGAAAACTTTTTAGAGCTTTTAAGATCTTGCTTCGAAAGCGATTTATATTTTGGAAGTAATTTAATAAGGAGTAAATTGCCGCCGTATAATTCTTAAATTAATTGAATTTTAAGCTAAATATTTATGTGCTCATTTAATCTGAATTCTATTAATTAACAAAATTAGACCCATAAAAAGGCTAGAGACTGTTTAAAGTGAGATCTCACTCAAAAATTTGAACTTAACTTGCAAATGAAATAGCTATATAATTGCAATAATGACTCTAAAAAAGTAACCAGGATTTAAGATTGGTTATCCCGTAAGTAACGTAGATAAAAGAGCTATTTGGATTGATGGCAATATCCATGCTCGAGAATGGGCAACAAGTCACACAGCACTTTATTTCATTAATCAGGTCAAGACTGATATTTAGAATATTAGTACTTTAATGAAGCCAAACAATTTTATTTTAATTGAAAAAAAACGAACGAAATAATTTAATTGCTCACAATCTAACAATTTACATTGCAGTGATTTCTGGGTTTTGGAGTAGTTGTTATAATTTATTGGTATAAAATCAAAAACAAATCATTTTCAGATAAAAAATACTTCATTAATAGTAATTATTACTTTCCTTATTTCAGTATGTGTATAATATATGAATTTATCTTTTCTAACATGAATATTCAATTTGAAAAAATCTGAAGATTTTAGTTAATTTCAAAGTTTGGTAATGATCAATCGGTGACACATTATTTGAATTCACTCAATATTTATATTTTCCCCTGTTTGAATCCTGATGGTTATGAATATACGCGTTCCAGACCGATACCACAGGTTGTTCTAGTTTTTATGTCATATTTGATTACGCGTGATAATTATCTCCTCATCCAATATTTGCTTAAAATTGAAAAATACCATTATTTGCTAAGCACATTTGTAAACAGATTTAAATCTGTTGACATGAAAATACCCACAACTTTTTATTTAATTAATTAAATGTAATAACTTAGAAATCAAGATCATAAGTTGGTTTGCAGGTGAGATTGTGGCGAAAAAATCGTTCGCCTCAAAAATGTATTCGATCTTTATGGGGTGGGCGACGATGTTGCGAAGGGGTCGATTTGAATCGCAATTTTGATTTTTATTGGGCTGGTTGGATCTCTTTTATTTTGTCAATATAAAAACATTTCAACTTACAATTCTTCTCAAAGTGAAAAAAACAAAAAACATTGTCTTAATGAAAACTATAGTTAAATTAATTAAGAATATTGGTTTGTTTAGAAGTAATTCTGTCATATTAGCGAAAATGAAATAACATTCGGTCTCATATAAAATTTTTTATTCCGACTTAGTCCGATATTTGATTTGATATAAACAGAGTCTGGAATTGAAATTATCCTAAATGAAAGCAAAAACATGGTGATAAGTCATCTGTAGTGAGCCATAATTCAATTTGAAATAATTAATGCCATGATTTATTTAAATTGTTGGGATCAAATCTGAAATGAAATGAATTAAAACCAAGATGTTGAAAACGAATCTCAATAGTAAAGTATTTATTTATCGTTAATATTTTATTCTTATTTATTGATCGCTAATATAATATTTTCGATAGATGCATAACTCCGGCCTTTTTTATTTGTATAGTGAGAAAGTCAATTTACGATTTGAGGGGATAAATTTTCGCATTCCTAATAGTTAATTTATACATTGCTGTCAATATAGTTAGGTAATATTTCCGGATTCTAGTTAAGTCAAAAATGGAGAAACCAGAGATCTGAAAATGGACTGGAATAAGATGAAATAAAACTGGCCTCTATTATTTAATGCAAGCATCTATATTATCAAAAAAAAAGTGAGTATTGAATATTTAAAAAAATGAAAGCTAAAATTTATTTAAAAAATTGAATTGAAGAAATTGGTTCAAGCGATAATCCATGCTCACACTTATATCATGGAGAAAGTGCCTTCAGTGAACCTGAAACCAGGTAATAGCACTAAGTTCATTTTTAAATTTGTTTGAAAATAATGAAATTATTTTAAAACGAACCAAAAGAAGAACTTCCAGTGGCTGATTTTTTTTTTTACTTCATTGACTCTTCAGGTAAATCACCAAGTACAAAATCTAGATTTCAATGCTTTCGAATTATTTTTACAAGATGATTCATGTTTTTTCAATGTTTTCTTGCGCACATTTTGTAATAGGAATTTCAGTCGGCATATTAAAAAATGTTCCAACCAATATGTATGAATAAATCATCAAGTAAATAACCGTATTATTTGTCAATAATAATAATCATTCGTTTGATGCAAATTTGACGCGCTTTGCATTCGATATAGAATTCACACGATTGTAAAATAAATTGAGTTCTTCATAAATTTGAATCCAAATTATACGTTCGAAAAATATTCGTGCTAATCGATTCATTTAAGGAAGTATATACTGCCGATATTAAGGAGTCTGTTTAAATAACTAAAAATGATTACTGCAGTTAATCATTATCACTATTATTTATATTCATGACAAATTTGTTAGAAAATTACTTATATTTTTAATTTTTTATAAGAGTCTTCTAGCCTTGTCATTAGTATAAAAAACGTGCAGAATATGAATCAAACTTGAGAAGTTCTATTGTGAAAATTCATTTACTGCTGTGGCAATAAGATGCCAATTTCAGAGCAGTGAAAGATTTTTTGCTCTCTCCAGAAATGAAAGGTAAATTAGATGGATTTATCACACTTCATACTTACGCACAGCTATGGATTCATCCTTACAGCCATAAAGTGGAGACATATCCAGAAAATCATGTTGAATTGGTAAACTTAAGTTAGTACACTTGTAGTGTCCTGTCATTTTATTTCAATAATTCAGTTTACCTAGTCTAACCTTCAGTTGGCTCTCATGTTCATTACTTCGTAGTAATTGATGATTACTACCTTACAGCCAACTGTCAGTATTTTTTTTCTCTGCTGCTTTCAATTAAATATCATTTGAATGATTATGATTAATTAATGTAAACTCACTTTTCTTCTAATTTGTAGTTATATATATATATTCAGCGATAATTTTCAAGGCGCGTACAGCGAAAAGAGCAGTGGATAGGTTGAAACAGGTATATGGAACGGAGTATAGAATTGGCACTGGCGCGAATATTTTAGGTAAGATAGTATTTAAATTGTAAAAGAAATGCAAAATAAATATAGTAATTCAAATAAAGTTTGATTTAGTGAGTGATAGGAATATTAAACTGAGTGGAATGCAGTATGAATTCATTACTATCACTAATACTAAAGGTTACATTCAATTTAATTTTCAAAAGTTTGCAATTCTGATTAATTATTTCAAGTTCATTTTGGAAAATTAAATTTTTATGATGTTTTATCATAGCATCAAACAGAGATCGGTCTGGATATGCTGTCAAGATTTTGTTTCTAGCTTCCCGCCTCTTTGAACTCTCATCACAGAAATTTCAGCTCCTGCTTCGGGTGGCTCTGATGACTGGGCAAAAGATGCACTTGGAGTAAGATTTGTTTATCTGCTCGAACTTCGACCTGAACTGGAATGTAGGTCAATATAACTTGATAGTTCCTATTTCTTGAGCTATTTCAGTCTAACATTTGAATTCAAATAATTCAGATTTATTATCAGCAGGAAAAGGAGACGAGCGATGTGATATAAAAAAGTAGTCAGACAGCTTCCCATTTTCAAAGTTGAAAATCTTCCATATTCAAGTCTTGTTTGAGCAATGTATTACGGTATTATCACTACTTTTGTCTTAGATCATTGTGAGTGTTAAAAAGAAATGGAATTATTCAATTACTGAATGTTGAATTGCAGTAATAAATGGATTTATTCTGCATAAGAAGGAGCTAATCCCGACAGCAGTTGAGACATGGGAAGGTGTTCGGGCAGTCATCGATGACATTATTAAAGGTATTAGTTTGCAGTCAGAAAATATATTGCTACCACAAGAAAGAATTCCTATGGTTGTTATGGGCAAAATTATGCGAAATATTACTAGTGAGTTTTGTCTCGACTCTCTTCGATCATTCGTCTCTTGATTTTAAGGTTTTCGATATACGAGATTTGCGAAACTCAAGTATAGTTCAGTTTCGAGTTTCAAACATATTTTTCTCAATTAAATCGGTTTAAATTTCCATGTTAACTTCAGTTTTTGTTTACATCTCAGTGCAAATTAGTTGTATTTTAACGTCTGTTAGCATTCGAAACTTTAGAAGAAAATTTAGCTTTGGAAGCAAACAATAAGCCTCGACGTGGAGCCGGTATTGCTCGTCGTTTAGCAGAATCCACCATCACTATCGATCAAGAGGAAAAATATCAATCTGGTGAATCAACTGCGGTACATTATCCAAATATATTATCAAATGTTAGCTCATTTTCTAATATTCGAATCAACGGCATATCCAAAGCTCTCAATACCGAAAACAATTTCTTAATTATGAATGCCGCTAAGTCGCAATTAAACAACGTTAAACTCGCAGTTTCTCATAAATTATCATCATCGTCAGGATGGAACCGTACGCATGGAACACGCAATATATTAGCTGGAAGTTCTCTCCATAATATGATTAATAAGAAGAAAGTAGTGGATCCAAACTGCCGCAATATTCGAATTTCATGTAGATTATGGGTACTGAACAATCCGAATGCTTGCAAAGACAGAAATCATTTTATGAGAGAGCAGTGCAAGCGAACCTGCAAATTATGCCCGTCTTTAACACGGTTTACTGATTAGATTCATTCCACTTAATAATCAAATGCAAAGGCAAAGTTGACAAATTACTGTATTCATATTGCCGTTCTTTTTGTTAAAACATTGCGTTTTAAGGAAAAAAAAGAACAATGCATTGATATGAATGTACAGTTAGTCAAAATTTCCAGTTGTTTGGCAGAAAAGTTGAAAAAAAAATTTTGTTGCGAAAATAACCAAAATCGTTATTGAATTTATAGCAATTCTTCTTGTAAATATATTTGGCAATTTAAGAGACAAAATTCCATCCTCAGTAACCTAAAATAAAACAACTGACTATATCTGAGTACATGATATATTCTGATGAAACTGTACGGCGAAACTAGCTTTTTTATCTTAAATAGCTTTAGTAAAATTAGCAGATAAAAGTTTCAGAAATTTTTAAATTTTTAACTGCAATCTGACCAAATAACTCCCTACAGGAATCCGACTGAATCATAGCTATGGTAATTTAGTACAAAGAAATCAACAGAATTCTGCAATGAAAATTTAGGAATTTTTTGAATATTGAAAACAATAAAATTATGAAAACTGAATCAGAAATTTTTTTTTGTACTAAATTTTTCCCCACAAAAGTCTGATTCTCGCATTTTTTTAAAACCGGTAGTAAAATTTCTTTTTTTGCCAAAAAACAGAAACAAAAGTTTTACATAGGTTGCTATTGTTGTTTTCGATGTTGTTATAATAGAAACGATCTACTCATCATTCACACTCCATTCAATCTTCGTCGTATCGTATAAATCAAACTTCACTTTACGTTTACAACATCACACATAATGCGATTTTTTTCAGTCTTGAGGCAATTTACAGATTTTTTTTGGTTTTTCTGTTTAATTTTCGCTAGTTTTGAAAATTTGAGAAATGAATCAGAAAAATGTGTGTGTAATGTATAATAAAGCTAGAACGTTGCTCTTTCGTACCAGTCAAGCCAGTCCAAAGCGAAAAATGGCAATTTAACGTTGAAGAAAGCAATAAATTACAATAGAAAAATGCTACAATTACATCACTTTTTGACGTCTTTACAAAATATCAGTGCTACGATTTGGCAAGGCACGATATAAACATATAAATTTTACATATAGATTAGCAATCAGAGTGTACAAGAAAACTCATACTTTGTAAACTTTAATAAGTATTTCGGAAGTAATAGTTGACTTCACATGTAGTTGATAACTTAAATGTATGATAAGGTAAAGATTAGTTAGAAATGTATGGTTAGAATCGTAGCTTCAGGGACTACATACTTCTTTACATTCCATAGTTTTCATTTCACTTTATGGCTATGCAAAGAAGCACGGTGTCACCTTCTAAGCAATATTCCCTTTCTGATCAAATAATAGTGAAGAAATCTTCAATTATTTTAAGAAACATCTACTGGTTTTTCTGAGACTTCTATGTTCCTCGAATCAAAATGATCAATCATTTTTCTATCAAATTTGCTTTAATCATCAAAAAGCGATGTAGAAAATAAACTAACAGCTTTTTTAGCGCTACACACTGATACAAATGAAGTTCACTTAGAAAAAGCAGAACACATTTCGCAATGAAATCGAATCATGAAGACATACATCCAACACATATTCACTTTTACAAATTTTCAGATGCGAAAATTTTGGAAAATTTAGATTTCAAAAATTATGTAGATTAGTCTCAATAACATTCTAACTTCATGCTAATCAATTTATCCACAGAAACCATTTAAATTCTGCAAGCATTATTAATCTAAAGTGACTGCAATACACAATTTAAACACAATGCTCAGTAGTCGTGAAAGAACCGATTATATTTAAAAAAGTGATCAGTACAAGCACACTCTGCAAAATTCTTGGGCTTCCTATGAGCAATGAAACTAAGAATTTAATAGATCGAAAAGTAGTCTATTCTGATGGGAAGACAGCCAGCTTATAGGTTTTAAAAGAGGAAAAGAGTACTAAATACTATTCGATTGCATTCAGTACTATTATATCCAAAAAAAAGTAAATTAAATCATTTGTGAAGAACGAATCGTTAGCGTAACTTGAAATAAACAAATATAATAAACATGAACAACTCAAACCAATCAATTTGATTCCCCATTTGAATTTAGTTACAAAAACAATAAGCCAAACGATATGATGACAAGCGACATATATTCTTTGATTGAATATATGATCTGATACCGGCATGACTGGCAATTTCATTTCTTTTCGAATAAGGATTAGAAAGCATTTCTCGTTTGTTGTTAGCTTACATCACAAAATTCTTAACACAAAATGAAAACACGTATTACATTACACGTTTCCAGTATTGCTAGACATTAATATCCCCACAGTCATGAAAAGTACATAATTTTCAAAGAAAAAATGATTCTAATAACACTGCAAATCCATCCGTACTGTATTTTGAATTTGGATCATTAACAAAGGAGTGAGCACTATAAGAAAATTTACACGAAGTCTTAGACTGCATTTTTTTGAAAAGTTTATATCAGTATGCTGAAGCAGGCATCAATAAGCTCGAAATTTCTAACTTTGTCAAGTCTTCCAAAAAACTTTCAAATTTGATTACTGCCGTCATTTAAAAAATTTACCTCAAAGTCAGTCTATTGTTCACTAGAACTCGACAAATGATTAATGGTAAGTACGGTTACAATCAGGTTTTTAATACCTGTTCCTTCTATCTGTCTCATATAGAACTTATGCACTACCACCAAACAACTTACTTTTCTCAAGCAATATTAAGTATTAAATAAGTCAGTACAATAACAAAAGTTAATAAAAATAACAATAATAATTATAATAGCAATAATGATCATGAAAATAGTGATGAATGGTAGGAAAATAATAACGATACCACAATGATACCACCATTAAAAATAACAACAATAGTAACGGCAAACTTACAATTTAATAGCAATTCTCTCCAGTGGATCTTCTAAAAAATGATATTACAATTACATCAGATGTAAAGAGTCAAATTTAATGCAAACACAGAAAGACCGATTCATTAGAGTTTTAGCTTGGTTATTAGAAGCAGAGGTGAGGAGCAACTGCAACGTAAAAGATGCAGACATTGGCAAGATCAAAGAACAAATCGATACATTTTCGAAATTCTGTCAAAACAACTGTGAGGTAAGGTCAACAAGCGATAACAATGCTGAAACATAATGTTATACTACCGTTACTACCGCCTTCTTTGTCACTACCACTGTTATCATTCCTGATAGTAATAGTGATAATGACAAAGAAGTAATGACGATATACTGGTAACAATGATGAAGGAAAATTATGAGAAAATCACTTAAAAGGAGAACCATTTGATTTTCAGGCCATAAAGCACACACCACCCAATTGTTAATCACGTTACTATCAATTAAGACTGGTAATACTTATGTAATATTTAACAAATAGTTCCTTGCATTATTGCAAATATGAAAAAAGACAATTTTCGCAATAAAAACGCATCGAATAAGTTTATCAGTCAAGTAATTAGCGTATTTGCTTGCCTGACCTGATTTAAGAAGAGAAAGTAAAGCTGTCTCTAAAAAGCTTTAAAATTGCAGAGTTCTGTGGAAAATTGGAACTGCCACTTATGCGGCATTCAAATCGCAACAATATCCATTTAATCATCGTGAGACAACTGGCCGGACTCAAAATAGCAGTTAGTGATATTTCGTACGCTAAGATTCAACGATGAGCATTTTCAATCCAAATTCTTTTACCAAACAGATTCCTTGCAAATGATTTGAGTATTAAAAATTTTCTATAGAAGTGCATCACAATCTTGACTTCGTCGCAAAACATGTCAAATATTGCTAGACTCGATTCCACATTGATAACGCAAATTTGATTTTATCTTCAAAAGTTTAAGATTATGAATAATAATGCAATTGACTCATTATGCAAATTAAAACATCTTAGTATCGGAAATATGAAAATATTTGCAGTGGTTTCTTGCCATTTTGAATGGAACTGTTTTAAGATGTTTTAATTTTTGATATTCTGTTAATTAACCTCAGAAAATCTTGACAACATTTACAACAGCAAAAAGGCTAAAATTTCAAATTATCTTACATCGAATATTGCTCAATTTGTACAGGTCAATGACTCAAATAATAAAAAATTTAAGTATAACGATATGAAAGAATAATGATCGAAAATTTGGACAGATTTTACATGGAGCATAAGTAATGACATGATAATATTCTATTCAAAGTATCACAATAGAGCGGGAAGAATGACCTAGAAAAGAAAAATGAACGAGCAACCTTAATCACGACAAAAATAAGAAACAAATTGAAGTGCAGCCTGACACATTGTAAAATTAAACAAGCAAATTATAAGTAATGTAAAAAAACGGTAGCTGTGATGGAGGGCACCACTCAGTTGTGTAATCAATACTCAATAATTTGAAGAGTAATACTTGTTGAAAATTTGTGGAAGAGAAAACGGGAAGGAATAGAAAGAAAGTCTTTTCACTTACTACCTTCAGGTATCCAAGCAATGCATTTGCTTACTTTTAAGTGCACATTTCAAGTCTTACTTTTTTCTGAAATCGTGCTTCAAAGCCGAACTGAAACGAGTAATTTGGGCAAGGCAAGAGAGTGGCATTCAGCAAGTGATACAAAGATATGTAATAAATTTTACTACTTAACTTGACTGAGTTCAGATTTGAAATGAGGGCAGTGGTTGTGCACCTCTTCTATCTGACACCTGTTCTTACCCTTTGTTTCGCACACACACAAGGATAAATAGATGGGTAGATACATATACATTCATTCACACACATATACAAACATATATAGACCCAAGCATTTATATACATAACATACAAACAGACATACATACATACTCACGTATGCACCCAAACACATAGTGATAGGGAGAAATTTACTGCGTTCAGTTCTTCATTTCTCGAATTAATTTTTGAGAAAACAAAAACAGCTGCGAAGTGTTTAAAGATTTTCTTCTTTCTTGTTTCAACATTTGTATTGTTAAGGGCTCGAA